GGTACATAGAAGCCAGAAGTTTTCCTGTGTCCTGCTTGGTCCATAGCCACCTAGACCCAAGTAAACATACAGAGGCTTTTATTAATTAAAACTGCTCAGCCATTAGCTCAGGCTTACTACTGACTAACTCTTACACTTAAACTCAGCCCATTTCTGTTAATCTCTATGTCACCACGTTTTTCATGGCTTTACCTGTGTGCCATTACATGATAGTCCCTGGATGGTGAGCTGGCATCTCCTCACTAAGCCTTTTTCTTCATTGCCCTGGCTTTGGGCCCCTTCTGCCTTTTTTCACGAACTCCAGGAAACAAAGTAATTGTGTCACTTAGTTTTCTACCTTTAGACTTATTTGAAAAAATACTGCTTCATATTCTAGTTGAATGGTGGTATTTACATAGTACTCATAAAGCCAGTCATTTACTTGACCTTTCTCATTCAGAAGTGTGTGTGTGTGTGTGTGTGTGTGTGTGTTATTTTTATCCATCTGTTCAAGAGAAAATTATGTATGATGACAGTTTACAAATTACATTCCTTAATAATAAATAACCAGAGGGAGAGGTGAAGCCTTAATCTTTAATTTAAAAGAAACACAAGAAAATTCATGACAAGAATATGCATGTACTTAATTTTCACTTTAAAACACATGAAAGAGTTTTAACACATTTATAATGTACTATGGAAGCAGCATTTATCAGTTGTGTTCAAAAAATTAAAAGGATTAGCTATTTATGGGTGCAGACCAAATTGTGAATTTGAATAGACTTAGCTTCAGAAATTATTTATAGATATTCTTTCAGATATGTATGTTCATTCCATAATTATTTTACATATTATATTACAAATAATTTTACTACAGTTCTACTTGAGGGGCCATCACATCCTGATTCAGAGAGATCTAGATTTGGAGCCAAAGACTTAGAGATGAGGACTGCCTAAGAAGCCAGGCTTGGTACTAATTACTCATGTTCCCATCTCACAGGGACTGGCTGAGTAAACAGGCTCATATACTAAGATCAAATAGAGACCCAAAGCACAGATTCATTACATTTCAGTTATAATTAATCAACCCTGCTTCACTCAATTTCTCTCTTTCAGCTTTTGTGAGACTAATCAAACTTAACCCCATTAGGATCCAGTGGCCGCTAAAGTGGGTGTTGGTAAAGTTCTTGGAATACCTGGCTGGCTGTCCATTGAGGGACGCAAGATCATTATTCTGATGGACATGACTATTTTTCACTCACACTCTTGCAGCTACACAGTATAAATAAAAGTTTTCTCAGATATCCTGGTGCTCAGATGCCACCAGTTGTCCCATAGTATCAGCTATAGTGCCTCTGTCTTGCTATTTCATCTTCACCCACTGTAGGTTGAATATGGATGGAAAACGGCCTTCTGGGTCCCCCAGTGCTGTGGAATGTCATTCTGTATGCTACGAATGTGTGTTGCTCTGATTGTTTGATAAATAAAATGCTGGCTGGCCAGTAGCCAGGCAGAAAGTATAGGTGGGATAAGCAGAAAAGGAGAATTCTGGGAGGAGGAAAGCTGAGTCAGGAGTCACCAGCCAGACACAGAAGAAGCAAGATGACAAGGCAGAAATGAGAAAAGGTACCAAGCCATGTGGCTAATTTAACCCATAGTTAAGAATTATGGGTTAAATTAAGTGTAAGAGCTAGACAGTAATAAGCCTGAGCTAATGGCCAAGCACTTATAAATAATATTAAGCTTCTGAATGATTATTTTATAAGTGGCTTCAGGACAGCAGGTGAGAGATTTTTCCTGACTGTGGGCTAGGCGGGACACAGGAAGTCTTCCAACTCCATCCCAGTCCCTCTGACTGTGTCTGAATCTTTTCTAAACTCACTCTAATTTTGATAGAGTTTTAGTGAAGTTCATTTTCTTTATGCTTAGGATTTGGTAAAGAATTCACCTTCCAAAGCTACACAGAGAAACCCTGTCTCAAAACATCAATAATAATAATAATAATAATAATAATAATAATAATAATAATAATTCACCTTCAAATGAAAGAGTTGTGGAGCTACTTTTAAAGTAAAAATTTAGTTTAGAAATTTTATCTTAAAAATATGTTTAAGATAAAAAAATTTATCTTAAAATTATGTTTCATCCATAATGTGGATCTGTGTGTTGGAGGAGTGGATGATTTCTCAACTATGCATTTTGCTTTTGCATTTAAGTATTTTAAAATCTGTCCCCAAGGAGCTTATTTGCCTGTGGTTGTGTATGAGAACTGAGAGTCAGGGCCACGGTGGCAACCAACTAAGAAACACTTAATAAGAACACGCTAGGGATGAAGGAAGGATGAAAGGAAGGACAGATGGGAAGAGGGGAAAAAAGTAATGAAGAAAGGGGAAGGGAGGATGGAGGAGGGAGGAAGAAATGGAGGGAGGGAGAAAGGGACATGCCTTGCTCTGTGCTCCGGTGTCTATATCAGGGGGTCCCCCATGTGTTTGTACAGAAAACCTTACCACCAGCTGTCAATTTGCAATTGCTTGTTCTCCTTCAGTAAGTGAGGACTGCTTCAATAAAACACGATTAGTGAGCTTGACTGAGCAGCCCTCGGGTAGTTGTTACCAGAGAACAGAGATAAGAGCTATGCAGTGGTATGAAATCACCAGGAGGCAGGTAGATGATCAGATGTCTGGAGGTGGGGGGGGAATGGGGGAGTCAGGTCTGCTTTAGTGTTCTGCAGGCAGGCCAGTGTATGCGGCTGCAGTATCTTGGCAGGTTAGTTCACAGATAACCCTTACAATGTGCTATGAATCTGAGCTGTCTTATAAATGTGAACACATGTTGTTGGACATAAAAATCATTGATTCCTTCCTAAACACCTGTTTAGAGAATGACCTCTTTTCAATTTTCTGAAAAAAAAAAGCAAAAGCAAAACAAAACAAAACAAATAAACCTGCTTTTTGTATTGTGGGGATAAGTGAATCATTAACTGAAGAATAGACTGATCCTTAGAACGAGAGGTATTTTGGATATGAGATTGGCAAGCAGAGGCTGCAATTGCTCTGGTAGGGCCTCCCCTTACTCGTAGGAAGCCTTCTCTAATAAGAAGGTTTCAAAGCCAGAGGGCTAAAAAAGAGCATGGGTTCACTATGGGGGAATCTGCTCAATAAAAAGAATCAACAGGACTGGCATAGGTTGCTGAGGCTGGGCCCTGATTTCCCTTGGATGACTGAAAGCCACAATCAGAAAGACTAGGGAAGCAAGAATCTAGATACTGGGACTTAAGTGATCACCAAAAAACCCTGGGCTCTTCTGGATCCTACCACATCTCATCCCGAGTTTTAGAGTTCCTGTGGGTTTTCTTTTTCAATTTTTAATCTTACGGGTGTGTGTGAGTGTTTTGCCTACATGCATGTCTGTGTACTCTATGTCTGCCTGGTGCCCAAGGAGGCCAGAAAGGGATGTAAGATCCTCTAGAACTGGAATTAGAGATGGTTTGTGAGCTACCACATGGGTACTGGGAATTGAACTCAGGTCCTTTTGAAGAGCAGCCAGTGTTCTTAACCACTGAGCCATCTCTCCAGCCTGGAATTCTTATTTTTACTTCACTAATATCAGCTTTAAGATGTTTTCTGCTTCTGCATTTACATTCTTATTAGTCAGTGAGAATCAGACAGATCTCTGCCTTTCCCCAGAGCAGGTATGAGTTGACAGAGGCTTGCCTCTTGCTGTCTATTGGAGCCCCCAAAGCTCAAATTGGGTTTTGGAAAGACATTTACATGTCTGACCTCCAGCCCCACTACTTAACAGTTCCCATCACCCTTTATCACTTTTCAAACAAAATGCTACTATTGCTCTAGGGCACCCTACCCAGCATGCCTCCCTTCAACTGCGTCTTCTACTGTCTCTTTCCTCCATTAGACTCCAGTCACACAGGCTTTAGTTTGGTTTGGCTGCTCAAAAGCTCTTGCCTGTCTCAGGATTTTGCAGCTTGGCATGTTGCTGCCTCTGATGTCTGCTCCAGTATCATCTTCTCTAACACCTTCTTAGATAAACTGATCTAAAGCAACTCCTCTCAATCCCCTTCCCGTAGGACCTGTCTGGCTGTAATTCTCACTCACATACCCTTTATATAATCTTCCTATATGTTTGGGTACAGATAGTCTATTTGCTGTGCCTACACCTCACGGAAACAACACTCTCAGAGCAGCCACACCACCTGTGATACTGTGCTCTGCATTGAAGAAAAATTCTGCCAGGAGATGCTTAAGATGTGTGCTGTGACTTTCAGCATCTGCACTATCTCTGTAAAATGCCAGCAGTGATGAGAAACAGCACCAGATGGTCTTAGAACCACCCATGAGGGTACAGTCAACTGTTTTTTGAGAAGGGTGTGTTTATCATTTGTCCAAGAAAAAGAACGCTGCAGTCACTATGATTGTCCCCAACAGCAGGCAGGGAACTAGAGCTACTGTTTTCTGTGTGTCTACTCACTGAGCTCAGGAACTAAAGCACACACTATAGGTGGTGCTCATAGCTTCTTGGCTGCTAAACTAAAGAGAGCTCTCCCTTGGATGGACCCTGGAGGCATAGGTTGCATTTTACAGTGACATTTTGTAAAGCTTATTCATTCTGCTCCCTAGGGAACGCTGCCATGGTATTGAAATGTTCTCTCCAAGAGAAAGGAGAGGAGAGAATGCTAATACGAAATGGTCCAATGCATGTCAGTTAGCAGATGTACTTTCATTTTTTAATTTAATTTTTATTTATTTATTTATTTGTGTGTGTGTGTGTGTGTGTGTGTGTGTGTGTGTGTGTGTGTGTGTGTGTTGGGGGTATGTGTGCACATATGTACAGGTTCTTGATTGGCCAGAGAGGATTTCTGATTCCCTGGAGCTGATGTAATAGGTAATTGTGAGTTGCCTGATGTGGGTGCTGGGAGCTGCTTTGGAGGGCCACTGAGATACACAGCTACTGCTTTTGTCTTGTTGTTTTGCTTTCCTTCAGCCTTCTAACTGTTTTTGTAATAGGTCAGTTTGGCTCATCAGTGGCCTCATACTTCTTGTTCCTGAGGTGGATGTATGGCGTCAACATGGTTCTCTTTATCCTGACATTCAGCCTCATCATGTTACCAGAGGTAAGCTCTGACTTCCAGCTTGTAAGAGACACTGAAAAAAAGTTTTAAGTGATTGCTTCCCTTCTCTCCTCCCGCCTTTTAGAGTAGCATGACTAGCTATGGTCATTTCTTAAGTGATAGGATTTACAATAAGCTTAACCTTCAAAATAGTACCTATACCCAAAGGTCCCAATCCTTGCTCCAAGGGTATGTGATTCTCATGGAGTTACATATAACATGCTGTGTTTGTGTCTCAGTGTGCACTTTAGGTAGGAAAAAAATCATATCTTTCTTCAGAATCACATTGGTTTTTGCCCCAATATTAAGCACTATTGGTCAACGGGATGCCTACTGAGCTGTATTTATTTTGCCAAATTTGTTTCCCAAGTTGTTCTTCTCACAACCGGAAGTTCTAGCTTTTCTAAACTGTAGGAATACCTCACCAGCAGCATTTTCCTAAAATAAAGTTTCACTTGTCCCATGCACACAGTTGATGGGGTCAGTGGCCATGGAGTGTTTTAAGGTCAAAATCAGAAATGTAGAGAGCTCAGACTAAGAAAGTAACAAACCCCTCAGTTGATGTGGGAAAAACTGAGCGGAGACCAGACCACCACTCTGCTTGCTGGCTTCACCTTATGAAGCAGCTCAGATGTCTTGGGGGTGCTTATGCTTCAAAAGCTGGGTGTGAGTTTGTTGATTCTACAAAGAACCTCTTCTGGTAGTAGTAAAACCAATTTGTTTAATGTGACAGTATCAGTGGTTGAAGCTTGGTGTTTGAATGACCATTTTATGCACCCAGTGTAGTCAGTGAGTTCTCCTACATTTGTAAGAAGCCTTCTTGTCAGCAGAATAATATGGCCTGACAGCGCTAAAGAGAAAACCAGCTTCCCACAGAGCAAAGTACTCCCGTTCCATGTACTGAGCCTCACAAGTTCATGAGGAGATTGTAGAGATTTTCCATCCCCATTTGAAATAGCCCTGAACACCTCTATTAGATATTAGGTAACTTAGTAAAGACAGCTATGTTATTTAGTATTTTTGGTAAGTTGGCCCGGGTCTAGGACCTATGCTTCTTTCATTACCCAGATTTTGCATTTTAGTCAGCTAGTTTTATAATTCCTGTGACAATTCTGGGGCTTCTAAGTCTGTTTGGCTGAGAAGACAGTGGGAAGAGATTCTTGCCCAAGTTAAGAGTTTCAGGCAGTATAGCCAAATGTGTGTGTATCTCACCCATTTCAAATGAAGCCATACTTTATTTTTGTTCCTCTATCTAAGGAAACCTGAAACTGCAATCCATCCCTGCCTACTGCTACTCTCCTTGGCTTCAGAAGCAGGTAGAGCTGGAGTCTTTTCCTCACATGCTGTGCTAGCTCTGTATGGAGGAAATGAAAGGCTGTTGTTAATTCCTTTGAACTCTACAAGATTCTGTAAAGTGCAGCGCACAGGCCCACTGATGAGCTGAAATTGTCCTGCCTTTGGATACCTGTTCACATGTGTGTTAAATACTGAAGCATGTCTTGTTTCCTGGGTGATGATTTCTAACTCCTGAATGTTCCTGGGTGATGATTTCTAACTCCTAAATAGGAACAAAAGAGGATGAACTCCCTGTGTGCTAACTGTGCAGACACCAGAGACCAGAGCTAAGCATTTCCCAACCATATGACCATATTTCATAGCCGCCTTTACCCAGCAGCTCCACCTAGCATTGTTCTGAGGCATGTGGCCTTTTGTCCCAGACTTATATGTCTCTCTGCAGGCCCAATACCTCACTTACCTTTGTTCTCTGTGCCTCTCAACTTTGGAGTGAAGCTGTGTGTGGAGAAAGAACTTCCTATTCTGTTCAGTTCAGGAAGTCAACGCAACCAAAGGCTGCAGTTTCAGAAGATCATGCCCTTCCTACAAAAGAAATCAGCAGGGGCTAATTCCTCGCCTTTGGCTGGTCAGCCTCTGCACACAGGTTTTAAACTGTGCTTACTAACTCCCTCAGGAGTTCATTTCACATATGAAGCAGCTTTTACTTGGCAAGTTGTGGGGGATGAAGAATGCTTTATGGATCCTTCCTATGACCCTATTCTTGCCTTATTGCTAATCCACTGTTCCCGGTGCTGTTCTCTATTACACTGCTTCTCTCCTTAGCCCATAGCACAGATTCAGATGGAGATGGCAGAGGTGCTGCTGTAATAAGGTTGGTTTTCCTGAAGCTTTAGTTCCATCCAATGAACCCTCCTTCCATCTCCTCTCCTAAGGGGAGCTCTCATATGAAACTGAGGATAGTACCATTTTGATGAACACTGTGGTGCCCCCAAGACTACCTCTCCTCTTCTAACTATGGCTACTATCATGGCGGTGATGAGCACAGGGCTTCTCAGCAAGTCTCTTGGTGACTGTGGTTGCCCTGCTTTGAGATTTATCCAGTGAACTCAGGATGTAGGGGCTTTACTTCCTTTGTTTTTAATTCTGGATTTAGTGGATTCCCAGGAAACAAGACCCCACATGGAGACCACAGAGTCCAAATGAAAAGCTTTCAGAAGTGTTTTTAAATGAAACCATTTGTGATCACATGTGTAGCTCAGATTTTGCATCCAATTGTTAACTGCTCTTTTTGCTTCAACTAGTACCTCTGGGGTTTACCATATGGCAGCTTACCTAGGAAAACAGTCCCAAGAGCTGAAGAGGCATCTGCAGCCAACTTTGGCGTGTTGTACGACTTCAACGTAAGTATTTCCACAGAACTGTCTGTAGGGGACCAGCTATTCCCTGTTGCTGTTATCCTGGAATACCACGGCCTTAAGAGAGATGTCCCCGTCTCCTGTTTATAAAAGACTATGTGTGTAGAAATGTGTATGTGTGTGAATAAGATTTACACACATTATAATATGATTACATAGGAATATTGACTATGGAGTAAAGATGAGCTCAAATCCCAACAATTTCAATCAAATATTATTTAATCTCCCTTTGAAAAAGAACAAAGGAAGAAGAATTTGCAAATGTGCTTTTTGAAAAATCTTATGGGATTCTTTGGGAATTCATTTTTCTACTTCATATTAACCTCTTCACAATCCTACATAAGATTCATACATAATATTACTTAATAGTCACTGCAAAATCAAGTTAAACATTTATATCCTGAGAAATACCAAATTCTAAGTAACACTAAAATAAGTACTACTTCACTATAGTACTGAAACAAATAGTATTCTGTTATAGTACTAAAGTTAATCTTATTCAATAGCATAATTTGCCCCGATTGTCAACTTAACCAGCCTGGGGGAGAGAGAGAGCCTAAACTAAGGAATCACCTCTATCAGATTAGCCTCTCAGAATGTCTGTGGGGGCATTTTCTTGATTTATGATTAATGTGGGAGTGCTCAGCCCACTGTGGGTAGTGTTATCTCTGGGTAGGTGGGTTTGGGGTATTTAAGAATGGAAGTTAGCCAGAAATGCCCACTGGTAGCATTCTTCCACAAATTTTTGCCTTTTTAAGTTCTCGCCTCTAGGTTTCTGCCTTGAGTCCTGCCCTGGCATCCCATGATGATGAACTGTAACTCGTCAGCTGAAATAAATCCTTTTCTCCCCAAGATGATTTTGGTCAGTGTTTTGTCACAACAACAAAAAGCAAGTTAGAACATTTAATTAGTATAGCACAGTCTTATTCCTGTTAATTGAAAAATCATTTTGGGTAATGACTCAAGTCTGTGATGATGAAATTCTATTAATTCTTTTTAAAATACTAACCAGATCAGAGATGTTTGGAAGCTTGTGAGTAGGAAAGTTCTAAGGCAAAGTTTAGGAAATTGATAATTCATTCAGTTTTTTCGGAGAATTTAAATGAGAATCAATTTTTGTATATTTGACATGATAAGGAATTAAAAACCTAGATTTCTTCTTCATAGTTAATATGTGCATTCACACATATTTTGGTTTCTAAATTTTGAGCTTCTTAAGATGAGAAGATGGCTACTCTGTATTCTTTCCAGCTCCTAATCTGGTCCTCATCTAACTGGTGGATGGCTCTCATGAACCCTGCTTTCTGTCTCTATAGTTTGTTTCTAGACTTTTTTTCTCAAATAAATGAATCAGATGACATTTAGTCTTGTGAATCTCATAACTAGCAATCCTGAGTGAGGGGAAGATTTTTTAGATCTATGTGATGAAAACCACAGAAATAGATTTATGTGATCAGTACCAGAAAACACAAATTTTAAGACCGTGATCCCAACTCTAAGAGTTCACAGTGAGCTACTAAGGAAGCATGAAGCATAGACTAAGTAGTGAGTGTGCCACTTCGACTCTGTAGTCACCCTAATCAGATATTTCATAGGTCAGCATTTGTTCATTGAATATAAGCATGCAATGGCCTTATAAAAATAGTGCTGTGGATCTTGACTGATTGTACATGTTAATAGGAGGAAGATAAATAGATGACTAGTATATGAGGTGCTGCACACCATATTAGCACAATGGAAATAAGAAGAACAACAATAAGAGGGTCCTGGGGTGTCCTGTTCAGGTGTGGTGCCTTAGTTACTTTTCTAGTGCTGTGGTAAGATACTATGCCTAAGGTAGCTTATCAAAGAAAAAGTTTAATTGGGCTTATGGCTGTAGATGGTTACAGTCTATGATTGTGGCATAAAGACATGAAAGTAGGCAGCTGGAACAGCAGCTGAGATTGCCCATCTTAACCACAAGTAGGAGTCAGAGAGGGTATGCTGGGAATAATGTGAGTCTTTTGAAACCTCAAAGCCCACACCCAGTGACATATCTCCTCCAACAAGGTCATACTTCCTAGTCCTTTCTCAACAATTCCACCAACTAGGAAACATAAGAGCCTGTGGGGAACATTTTCTTTCAAGCCACCACATGTGATTAATTCTGCTTGAGAAAGGCTCAGTTTTACTGGGTATAGTTTTTGAATGGCATTTCTAACCTTGAGACTTTAAACTTTTCAATTTTATTGTAGTATAATTTACAGACTGTTAAATTCACCCAATGTAAGTGTATGGTCTGATAATTTAAAGTAAATCTATGCAGCAGTCATCACAAGCTGGCTTTGAAATACTTCCCTCACCTCCCATGGATCTCTTTAGTGCCTGTCTGTCCTCTAGCCCTCAGTTCCCGATCTCACACAACTCTTACATCTATTTTTTTTTTTATATTTTTGCCTTTTCTAGATTTTTTAAGGAATAAATGCAATCATATGACGCCTTGTATTTGTAGTCTGATATCTTTTATTTGTTATGTTTTAGGTTTACTTATGCTATACATGCACCATAATTCATTGCAGAGAGCACTGCATTGCATGGCTTTAATTTCTTTTGTTTATCCATTCACTGATGAATGATGCATTTCTTCAATGTTTTGAACAATTCTACTCTGAGTATTTGTTTTGAATGCCATTTGCGGACATACACTTTCATTTCTGTTGAGCGGATAAGTTTGAGTGGAGTTACTAGGTAAACATGTGCCTAGCTTTTTAGGAAGTTACTGGTGTCTAAAGTAACTGCACATTAAATGTTTCCACAGTAGGACTTAGGATAATACTCCTCCACATATTTAACAGTTGACATTCATTTTGATTCTAGTATTCTCTATTGAAACTGTAATAGTATTTCTTTGTAATTTTAAGTCACATTTTCTTCTTACACATTGACAAAATAGTTGCATATATTATGGGGTACAAAGTGATGTTACAATATTTTAATATAAGTAAAATGATTAAATCAAGCTAATTAACCTATCATGGATGTCAAATATTTAATGATTTTTGTGTTGAGAATATTTGAAATTTACTGTCTTAATAATTAAGTGCACAATGCTTGGCTCTTTGCTATGTTTATTGAGTTTTGCAATAGATAGAAAATTTCATATATATTCTTCCTGCCCAAGTAAGGTTTTGTGTCCTTTAATTGTCATTACTCACATCCTCCCTTCCCTGGGCTCTGGAAGCTCCATTCCACCTCTTGTTTCTTTGCGTTTGGTTGATTAGATTGCACATAAGTGAGAACATGTGGTATTTGTCTTTCTGTTTGGCTTAGAAAGCAAATGGCAGTTAGGAAACAGAATGGCTGTGCAAAGCTTATTGTATCAGACAAGGCTAGATTTGTGGTTAGGGCAAGGTAATGAGAGGTCTTTTATATTATAGTAACCAAATAAATAAATGCAGCAAGACTCTAATGAGGATTCACTGAAGGATCCATGGGAAATAAAATTAGCAAGTTGCCCATTGAATATGATTATTCCTACAGAAACATTAATATTGTTTCTTTATGAGATGTTTAAATTTTATGGATCTTGAAATTTGAGAACTGCTGTCTGTGTTGTTTTCTTCAAAGATTTTATTCTAACTTTGGAAGGGAAAGAGTTTGGCTAATGTCAGGAGTATTTTGTTTTTCCATTTGTGTCAGGGAAAAGAGTTCACTCACTCTAGCTAGCATAAACAGAAGTAAGTGGGGTGGGAACAGATAATGATAACTGTAGATTAATAGACAATTGATTGATAACAGAGTAGAGCTAAACTAGTAGTTTAACAACTAGAAGATCATTTTATTTGTAACTAATCCTTATTCTAGGAAAGATGAACTTTACCATTCCTGTTTTATAGACGGGGAGGCTAAGGGCTCCTGGGCTTTGCCTTTCCTCTCAGTTCTTCAGGTAGTAAATGAAAGGGTGGGAATCTTAGCACAGCTCTGAAGCCTAGAAGTCGTCTTTATGTGTACTGACAGAAGGCCCTGAAGTAACTAGAATTTTTTTTATTAGGAATGCAGAAAATAAGGAAATTTTATCCATGGAATTACTGTAGAAATCACCCACCCCATGCCCAAGATTGGCCAAGGGGAAAAGTGAGCTCAAGGTCTTTGGCTGAGCAAGCCCTAATCTAATTTTCTACTCATGTCCTGTGTGCCAGTAGCAACTTGCCTGCCCTAATTTTCAGTAGAATTCTCATGGCTGTTTCTAGAAGATTGGCTTTGTTCAATGCTTTGTCCACCCCAGAGGTAAGGAATGGAAGCAGCTTGATCCCATTTCCTACTTTGATAGTAAACTTGTAATTTCCAAATCAGCTCCTCAAATGAAAAGGCAGACTTCTCACTTCTTCTTGCCTGAGTTTTGACTTGTTCATCTGGACCGTGACTTCACAGAGGCATTTTCTCTATACCATAAGGTGAGTCCAGAATTCCATCACATCTTCTCAGAGGAAAACATAGGAAACTCGTCATTCTGGCTTCCAAAGAAGTACCAGCAAGGAAAAGTGTGTTCAGTTCCAGGGCCAAGATGACCAGTGGATGGATAGGTCAGCCATGGCTTAGGTAGTTTCTTCCAGGCAAAGGAAGGCGTGCAAGCCCTTAAGTCCGCATTTACAGAACATTAAAAGTAGATGCAAGTATGACCTCTTGTGGTAGAGGAATCTACTAAATGGGAAGGGTCAGAAAAGCTGGTAAAGAAGTAGGAAAGTTCTAAGGAACTTCTAATGTGGTGAACCTCGTTTGGGAATCTCAAAGCTTCCATTCTAGCTGAGTTCTGTCACTTGAAAGCACTTTCTTCAACTCATCAAAGCCTCTGGTTAGTAGTAGACAAGTATCACGTGACACGTGAAAGTAACTAGTTTTATGATTCCTCAGAGTCACAAATTATCATTCACAGAGCAAAATAGTTTTGATCCTTTTATTGAGTGCCAAATGATAGGTCTTACTGTTCAGCAGGGAAATCTATTTTA